CCATGGAATGCATCCAGGGCTCTCTTTTGGAGGTAGAAAGTTCAATTTTGCTGGTAGAGCCTGCTTCGCAGGAGGGCATTTCTCGCGACTTAATAAGGAGCACCTCTACTCTTCTGGATTTGTCTCCATCACTGGACAGTTATTGAGACTAGCTCTTTCTAACGGGCCCAACTGAGTAGGTTCATCCTTCCCCACCCACCTGAAGACGGAGACAGATCCAATCTCCGAAACGTCGTGGTCTTTTGTCTTTTACATACCAGACGATGGATGAAGTCCAAAACAAGCCAAAAGAAGTACAGTATACGCCATCGTCAGAATCCTTTCAAGAGTATCTTTTCCAGGTGTGTCTGTTAAATGAGTACCCTTGGATTTTAATTTTAATTTTGCGGTATATGACGACGTTGAAACTCAGTTCTTGCGTGGAAGAGGCAAAAAAGAAAGCATATGGTAATGTAGATATAATTTTCCCTATCCAACTATTGGACTTTGTTGTATTTGGGTTCTTGAATTCGACTTATTTGTGAGAGTGGAATTGTTTCAGAAAGCATTTCACCCCGATATGACGTAAACTGTATTCGTAGATTTTTGTCCTTAGGTTTTTTAATGACGCTCTCAATATCGAGACTGTATAGCGTCGGATGGTGCGCTGTCTGGTGAATTGGAAAGGATTTGAAAGGGAATGGTCGTAGTCTAATCGAGCAGTTATTCCAGCAATTCCTTGAATAGACTGAGGATAACTTTTGTCCTCCCCGAGTTTAGAACCCAGCACCCGCCAAAGACTAGTATAGAGCGTAAAATCTAGACCATGCCGTTCAGTATAAACTGTACACGGTTTGATCGCCGCTTATTGCTGGCTGATAATGGGGTTTCTTTGAGAAACTGATAGTTCCTCACCTAGTCATGAAATTCATATCCTTTTATTGTTGAACTGCAAGTTTCATTACTGTGGTCACAAGAACCTGGAAATGAAGTCCGAAGCGCTGTGTAACATTTCGTAACATGCTCCTCCTTCTGTGGTGAAGGGTTATTGACCCCCCGCTCGACTCTCAAGCCCGACTTCCACCCCTAGTCGCAGAAACATAATTGTAGTCTGTCTCACTCTAATTTTATGTACGACATAAGGGTACAGGAGGAGGACATTCCTACAGAGAATGATCGAACCATGATAACTGTTGGCCTAATGGGATAGTCCGTCTGGGGTTGTAGGTAGAATATATTTTTAGTTACTGTCGTCGAGTTGCTGCAGTAAGTTTCAGAGGTGAGTAAATTTTAGTTACTTGATGACTCTACATGTCATCGGATAAAGAAATGATTAGTAAATAATGGATTGTAAAGTACGTGGAAGAAGATATCCGCGACCTGGTTTCAAGTACGACACAGAAGTTGCTTGTAGGGATTGAGCAGAACATTGAAGAACCTTTGGTCAGGATATCTGGTGTTTGTGTCGAAATTAGACTCATATGATCCCGAATACGAAGCAGTAGTAGTGTTCTACGGCTACTTTCTATAGAAGAACCAGAACATTAACCAGTATCTCCACTTCAGAATAAGTCGCGCTGTCGCTTTGAAGGCAGTTGATATTGTAAATTACTAACAAATTGTGACCTTGAAATTATATTTTTGGAAATGTCACTTAACTTGAAGAGATGGAGACTAACTGCTTAAAGTCCAGTGGTCTCCTACCCCGTACTTTGACGTTAAAAACTCTGCATTTTGTGAACTCAGTTTATTTACAATAAACAGACATCGATTTTTTTCTTAAACAGCATTAACCGATTGATCATTTTAATGGCGATGAAGTAGCAGGAATTGAGTTCTTAAAAATTCATATTATTTAAATGAAATTAATGGTCCAGGGAATTAACTGATTGTGTACCTGTATAATCAGACCGTGCAGTTTGTGGCATGTACGCTTCCATTATGTTAAATATTAAATTTTTGTTAGAGGCAAATCGATATGTACTGATTAACTTCAATGTTACCTTTAAGAAAAGCGGTCAAACAGTTTCTTAAAAATTCGAAGGCACAGGTATTTGTTATTCTGACATATTTTATTGTAATTACTTGAATCAAGATGGGGACAGATTTTACCCTTGAGGTGACATAAAGAGGCGAGTTTTGTTCATGCGCGGCACTTGCCTGCTGTATATGCAACAAATTATGTGTTCGCTTATTTATTGACGCTGTCAGCACAGACTATATAGCCTTCAACGATAAGATGATTGGGAAGTAGCGAATTGAAAAGTGTTTAAAGAAGCGGATGTGACCTAATTTGAGGCATTATCATGACATTTAGCTTGAAGGACTGAAGAAAATCAGTCAGGATTGACGGTCCAGGAGCCAGATTTAAACGCGGGATCTTTCGAGCAAGAAGCAGAAGTGCAACCCACTCGCATGCGACGTTAAATAGTACACAGTGCAAGTTGAGAGGACATGAGTGGCAGGATTAGTGTATTGACGGTTACTAGGCAGTGTTTCAAGTCAGTGATTTGAAGGAAATCGTATATGGTTTCGTACTTACACGAGTGTAGCCAGTTTTTTAGTGCTAAAGCGATCTGTGACCACAGACTTGTATTTATCATTTGCTTAATGCATGAAGTAAGCACTATGCTGCGCCATGGAGGTAAGCAATGTAACATTTGTCGGCGGGAATATATAGTTATTAGACTGTCATAGGAAGTAAGCAATTGTTTGCGCTCACTGCCTTTCTCGTTAAGAGTATGAAACAGTAACGGGGCGGTCAAATTAAATCTCAGTTTTGCTTTCGGTTTGATGGCAGTAACTATTGAACCATTTTATCTAGGCATGTGAAATTTGATTCGGAGATGGACACAAATAGAGACGCCTTCTGTTCTCAATACAGCATATGTTTTTTGGGCACAAAATATTTGTAGCTTGTTATAACTTGTAACTGTAGTAAATCTGACACAGTTGTATCTTCTAGCATATGTCACCGTGTATTCCGGTAATAGTGAACAGATATTTCGGAAAAATATATCGTCTCCATCTTCAGGGTTAAAGTGTGAGCCAAACATGAAACCTGTATGAAGCAGGCAGCTCTGCTTGTTGCCTGTTGCTTCAGTACTTGCTTGGTTTACTTTCCGATCCTGAAGATGGAGGTAGTATGTTCTTTTAAGACGTTGAAATTCTGCCAGACTACACGGCGTCTCATCACAGAAGGTGATATTGTTTAGATAGCGATAAAGTCCATAAAAAGCTTAACTGATCAGTCTTTGTAATGAAGACAGTGTCCTGTTTGAAATTGAATTGAATTTTTAAATACTGTAACGTGTAGTACCGTTATGCAACGATCACGAGAAGGAACATTCGTTGCTTGGTAACAGCCGGTAAACATATCAACACTATCCGAACTATTGCTAGGCAGCCGCCCATAACAACAATAGAACGACTGTTGGAGGCGGTGTTTGTGTTGGGTCCGCCTTAAGACTATATAGCGAGGATCCCAGGCCGGCTGAGTGCACCCTCATGTGGAGGCGGGATCGAATACCTCCACAGTGACCCTGCGAGTCCTAGGAGGCGATGAAAAGGGAAGTCTCAAATCTGATGCAGTAAAATTGGGACTCGGACCCGAGAAAGACTGCGCTGGCAAGGGCCAGCAGCATATTCAAAAGACATCTGACCTCTCGTCAAGAGAGGGCGCCTCACGAATACAAGACCGTAACTGACACCAAGACTTACTGACAGTCGCAGTGTGACTTTGACTATGTCTGAGTGCAGTGTAGTTGAATGAAGTGAAGTGAAGTGAGGTAAATTTGTTGGTTGGCAAATGAGAAAGTTCAGTTGAGGGTTGGCAATTGAGTCGAGCTGTGTAAGAGAGGCTGAGAAGAGATTGCGCTCTACAGGTCAGTTGATATGAGTTTCCACGGGCGGCTGTGACAAGAGGACCTGAGCGCGGGAAGCCGACGAATCTCCTCTGTGTTAAATCTGTTGCCAGGAAACGGCTGGTGGAGACTGTAACAGACTGAGGGCGCTAGTGTGTGTGTGTGTGTCAGTGGTCTGTAAGATGTAGTTACGAGGGGTGTATGCAAGTGGTCAATGAACCCAGTACCCAATCCACACCCGGTCTGTTGGCCGGGATAGTTCAGTTGGTATAGCGACTGACTACGGGCTGGACGACTGAGGGGTCGGAGTTCGAGTCCCGGTAGAGTCAAGAATTTTCTCCTCTCCAAATCGTCCAGACCGGCTGGGGTCAACCCAACCTCCTATCCAGTGGGTACCGGGGGCTCTTTCCCCAGGGGTAAAGCGGCTGGGTCGTGAAGGTGACCACTCACCTCCAGCTAGTGCCGAGGTCAAGAAAACGTGGATCTATACATCCATTTCCCATATGCCTTCATGACCTAGTCCTTAATTAGTTAAACACAGGGATAACTTTGCTCCTTTTTTTACCCTGACCATCATCATCATCGTCATCGTCCTTTAGCTCTCACTGGAGCATAGGGCATTAAGAACATGTCGCCATCTCACACGGTTTTGCTGAGTTGTTAAATTTCTCCTCGTGTCTTCCCAGCAGCCAAGGTTTCCTCTCGTCTGCCATCTCTTTGGCCTTCCTCCTTTCCTTTGTCTTTGTGTGTTCCACCTCATAGCCTCCACGATTCCATTTTTCTTTCGAAGAGTATGGCCGATCAAGTTCCATTTACGTCTAGTTATATGTTCAGTTATTTTTATTTCATTTGACTGTTTCCATAGTTCATTTGTTATAACTGGCCTACCCTGTCTATAGTCACCCTTAAATAGTGACAGTATTATATAGTTGAACTCCGTAAGGCCGCATCTGTAGGTGGCTAAATACAGAACTTCACATTGCTGTCCATGTAAAATTTGAGTTTTTTTTAGTTGTGGCTGTGCTATTCTGTGTGTGCATATGATAACGAAAGACCATATTAACCAGGATAATTGATTTATGTTGGTGGTAACAAAGCCTTTCAAGTATACACTAAAACTTACGTAACTTTAATAAAATGTGACTGTTTGTTTTTCAGGTTTTTGCTGTGTCTTTCACTCTGGACAGCTTCTTTCTCGAAGGTAAGATCAGACGTCTTTATCTTGCAAGTTCTTCACATCTGTTCACAAAACAAAACAAAAAACTCTTGTTCTAGTCCGCAAGCGAACTATAACGGCCGAGCGACCGCCTCTTGTCGGCGAAGTTAGTGACAACTTTAGCGGATAGAGCGTGTCGCATGAACAGCGCAACGAATCCCCAGGGCTGTTAATTTCGGTTTTCTAGACCAGAGCCACTATTTCCTTGAAATGGCTCCTCAATTATCCTCACGAGGCTGAGTGGACCCCGTTCCAGACCCACTACTTCTCAGAAAATCTGGTAGCGCCAGGAATCAAACCCGGACCTCGGGATCTGTAACCAGAATCTCTGACCACTAGACCAAAGAGGTTCACAGGCTTTTAATAATGCGAGGTGTATTGAATATTAAGTAGCCACGTGATGTGAACGAGATATATCGTTCTCAAACCAATGTCTTCTTGTGTGTAACGTGTGTTACACAAATGTGTAACCTAAGTGAAATTTCACACATTACATTAACGACTTCTAAATCTGTACAACGTAAATTGTCTGATATAATACCATGGTGATTGACGCTATTTGAACTATTGCTGAAAATAACATAACATTGAAAGAGTCCGTTTTATGTTCCTTGTGTATTTGTGGAGTCACTTTTGCCTTAATGTGTTGCTAATTGGTATGATTTATTGTTACGTCGTTAGAAGCCGTGTATTTGCCACGTCGTTTTTACTTAACGAGATTCACACATTCACAGTCTCTGTTATTTGTCCCCCTCAAATTATCCTTTAAAACATTGATCATAATAAGAATATTTGAACGTAAGATGATGATTGTGTGACGACAGTAAATTAATTCTAAAACTTTTATGTTACCCATCGTTTATTGCCTAAGAAATATTTGCTATAATTAACGTTTTTGGACTTTCGGACAATTATATGTCATATTGGGAAGTTATTTGCATAGTATCGAATCCGAGAGGCGTTATAATGAATGGAGTAGTAGTCAAATGATCTACAGGGGTTGAACAAAATTATGGAAACACTACAGATACTGTACACATTTATTTATTAATATGGGTTGAATCATTTTTTGCCTTCAATGATGCCACAGTCTAGGACTGATTCTGAACACACTTTCGGGTTCTGTGTGACTGCCTTTCGCGCTTTAGTCAACAAAATAGAAAATTTAAGACACAAGTTTCAGTTTGGCTAATGTTACTGTATATCCAAATATAGGATTCTCCAGAAAGACATCTTTGGAAAAACAGATTTATATGCAGGTTTCTGTATAATGCCCATATGCATAAAGAACCCCAAATACACATACAGGGGTTGGCCAAAATAATGGAAACACTACAGGTACTTTTGCCTTCAGTATAGTTGCAGTCCGTCTTTGGAAGGACTCGTACATATTTTTGAACAGTCTGTAGCGGAATTTCATACCAAACGTTTTGAAGAACATCTTCAAGTTGCTTCAGAGATGTTGAAGGTGGGAGTCTGTTCCTCACTCGGTCTCCGAAACTGACCCGAGTGGATCAGTGATGTTCAAATATGGTGACTGTTTGAAGTTCACCATCATGCTCTTCAGCCATGACTGAACAGTTCCAGCTGTGTGAATGGCGGCATTGTTGTCTTGGGAAATGAATCCTTCGAAAATAACTTCTGGATCATGGGATGCACCTAATTACCCAACGTGTTCACGTACTCCCTCGCAGTAGTTCGGCCATGAAGGGTAATAATGGGATCACCATAATACTGTACCACGATATTGCACCGCAGTTCATGACAATTTCCCACGTATTTCACCGTTGTAACCAGGCATTCCGGGTTGTAGGCTTTCTTGGGTGTTCTCCAAACGTAAAGTCTTCATGATGTAGGGGACAGCGTGAAAGACGACTCGTCTGACCATATCACGCGCACGTTTCCAGTTGTTTGATATCCAGGTTTTATGGTCCTGACACCATCGTTTACCCATGTGTGCATTACTTTCAGTAATCAGAGGTTTATCAGTTGCAGCCCTACCGTAGATGTTGGATTTGAGAAGCTCGCGTCGGACGATTTTTGTGGAAACAGTGTTTTCGAGATGAATATCCAGTTCTGCTGTCGCCTGTGCTGCCGCAGTTGTATGATTTTTTGAGCCAGTCCTTCTCAGTATACAAAATCTTTCTTTCAATGTTGATTTTCGCTCACTGTTCCTCTTCGCTGGTGTTGTCTTCCCACGATTCATTTATACCGCCGACATAGCCTTAGAAACTATCGCTCTCGATACACACAATAATGCGGCAGTTTTTATCACAGATGCTCCAGCTAAACCCGCACCTACGATGTCCTTTCCAAAATCAGACAGGTCTTCCATTTTCCGATTCGTTCACGAGGACGGTCGACACAACTGATAGTACACTGACATGAGCACTACGGAATGTAAACAAACTGAAGAACATTCAGTGTTGCCAACACAAGTTCTTTTCCTCAGTTTCTTAGTATTTCCATTATTTTGTTCACCTGATGCAGTGTTTTTTCTACTTCAAGAGAGAGATGAGATTTTTATTATTTTTGACATGACAGGCTTCAAAGTAAATCTATCCTGTGTGGTAACAAACCCTAATTCGTCATGCGGCACCCTAAATTCACCGCGAAATTAAGCGTGTTCTACAGTTCCTCGCATACAGCGCTAGCGATAGTTCCAGTTCTCGTATATTATGGGTCAATTGGACGACTGGCTAATACTCATAACCTAAATTAAATAATCTTCCACCATCAAGGAACTGTACTTTTTGTGATTTAAGGTTCAGCAGGCCCAATGCTTGCTTCATTCTCATGTCATGGTCTTCTGGGATGTGACTTCTCGTAGTATGGCAGATGCGTATGGGGGTGGGGGGGTGGTAACTGCAGCCTCCACCTTCGGAATAGAAGAGCATTCTTCTGCTTTGAAAATGGACTAGCAGGTCACATATCAGAATATAAAGACAAGGCTAATCGAATTAAATCCTAAAGAAGGTTAGTATATTACGCTGTTGTATTATGTTACAACAGGCCCCTGTTGTACTATGTTTTAATGTTCTGTCCAGAGGTCCAACATACGCATCTGATTTATATGTTAGAATGAATCAAAATGTGATTGTTTACAAATATTTCATCTGAGATGTTTTACTATTATCTGAATGTAGAAAGTTCGTCGTAACAGTATATTTGATGGAAATCTATGATTCCTATCCATCGTTGGTTGCAAGTTTTACCAAAATATTGAGGAAGTAGCTTGCAGTTTAACTTGCTTATGATAAAGTTCACGATACGATAATCACGCACAGTGATGGTGCTGCTTTACTTGAAAAAGAAATTTGGTGGATAACTACGTATGTATTCTTTACTATTTTATAACCCCCTCACTAGGCAAAACTCTCGGAGGCAGCTGGAAGTTCTTTAATCCAGGTGTGCTTTTGAACAGTATTGTTGACGTAATACCGATAAATAGGCGTACACGTTTCAAGAAATGTCATAGATTGGACGTGTCCTGTTTGTTCTTTTTCCTCGGACTTTTTCAGTGTTGGTTACATGGGCCATCGAACAACTGAGTCTCTTCATGTAGCTGTGTCTTCTCGGGGCCCTTCCCCCTCAGTTTATTTCCAGGTTTTTGATTCCTTGTGGGTGGCATCTTTTATAACCTATTTCCATCGTGACCTTGACCTTAGTCTTCCTCGTCGCAATTTTATTCTACTTTCGTGTTCAAAGCCTTTTTCTTGGTTCTTCCTTCGTTCATTCTTAAAAGTGTCCTTATCATCTTAGTCTTGTGTGTGAATTTGTCTTCAAAGGTATTCATAATTAAATTGTGCTTTCGCTGTTTCTTGTATCCTTTCCGGTTTCTTTATATATATATATATATCCGCTGAACTACATGTTCGCAATAAAAGATTAGCGATGTTGGCACTTATTTAGCTGCAGCAGATCAGTGATTGAGTACCCTTCGAGTGGTGTTCGATCACATTTTCATTATGTAGTATATTACGTCATTTAGGTAGCAGCCATTGCCATCAGTGCTAATTTTTTTTTTTGCCAACGAGCGCAATATATGTATGAATATACCGAATTACTCGGTAGTAGCCTCCTAAATAAGACCACGTAATTCGTAAACGTATAGATGATGTGAATCTACTGGGTGATAATATAATATAGACACCATAAAGGAAAACACAGACTCTTTAATTGAGGTTGGTCTAGAAGTAATTATCAAGAAAACTAAGTATATGATGCTTTATCGTCACCAGAATTCAGGGCAAAATCGTGACATAGAGATAGGCAATAGATGTTTTGAAAATGTGGCACAGTTCAGATATTTGGGAACTACTATAACAAATTAAAACCTGATTCAGGAGGAAATTAAGAGATTGAACTCGGGTAATGCTTGTCACCATTCAGTCCAGAAGCTTTTGTCTTCTCGTCTACTGTCTAAAAACAAAAATTAGGATGTACAAAACTATAATTTTGCCTGTGGTTCTGTATGGGTGTGAAACTTGTTCTTTGACATTAAGGGAGGAACATAGAATGAGGTTGTTTGAAAACAGGGTGTTGATAATATTTGGACCGAAGAGAGATGCAGTGACAGGAGGTTTGAGAAAGCCGCACAATGAGTTTCATAACCTGTACTCTTCTCCAAGTATGATTAGAATGATCAAGTCAAGGAGAATGAGGTGGGCAGGGCGTGTAGTAAGAATGGGGAGAAGAGGAATTCATATAGGATATTGATGGGGAAGCCAGGAGGAAAGAAACCTCTGGTAAGACCAAGACATAGTTGGACGGACAATATCAAAATGGATCTTAGAGAGATAGGATGGGATGGTATGGATTCGATCGATCTGGCTCAAGATAGGGACCAGTGGAGGGCTCTTGTGAAAACGGTGATGAACCTTCGGGTTCAATAAAATGCTTGGAAGTTCTTGAGTAGCTGCAAATTTGGCAGCTTCTCAAGAAGGGCTCAGCTCCATGAGTGAGTGAGTGAGTGACGGTTCATA